TTTTCAGTGTTCTTCTTATTGCAATTCTAAATTCAAGTTGTTTTACGTTACATCTGTCATTCACACATATTTTCGTGCTTACTTCACTTCCATTCTTCCATCTTTTCCTTTCAGTCTTCCAAATGATTAATGTAACCTCTGTTCCTGCTCAACTTATATGAACATACCCATATATCTGGTGATGACTGTGTGACAATTTGTGCTTTGGCCTTGGTTTGAGCAACATCATTACAAGACAAAAGAATCTAATCACCCAAACGTTACTCAGTATAACCACAACTATGTCTCACCCACTATATCAGTACTTGAGATAATGAGAAGGGGTGCAGATACTGAAAAATCTAAAACCCCGGAATTATCTCCAACTTCTAGAGATTATTGGTAAATTTTATATATAACTAAATAATAACAAGAAAGGTCTTTTTTATAATTTTAACAGCTAGGTTTTAAAATGTCAATAAAGTTCTAAGCCTAATTTTTAAATCTCCACTCAAGAACTGCATTGATCACACGACTGTACACTGTCAGACTTACGGGTTTGTTATTTTTCAAACAAACAGAACGGTTTTTTTGTTGTTGTTGTTGTTGCTGTTTTGTTCTTGTGTGCTTTAAATTTCTTTTTTTTACAAAGATCAGCTGTTTTCCAGTTGTAAAACTATCGTAGAAGTCGCTGTCTTTCTACATTGATATCATAATCTAAGTGGCTTTGTTTTTATCTTTTCATGTTTTCAGTTTTATTAAAGATCAGTATTTTAGAATCAAGAGATCTAAACACTTGTGATGATAAAGCAAATGACACCAAATGAAAGTTTATTTAAAAGTTTTCTAATGTTAAAAGCCGGGTTTCGATACCCGTAGAAGAAACAGCACAAAAAGCCTATTGTGAATCTTTGCGCATAACAACAAACAAACAAAACAAACACTTGTATATGTTCACTAAAACTTTGTGAGGGTACATAAGAGACCTATGATAATTGATTTGAAAAAAAAACGTTTTTAATTAAACTTAGAAGAAAATAAGTTCTGTAATGAATTTAAAAAAATATATTAGCAAAGTTTTAACTTGAGATGAATGATTCTAACAACGGTTTGGTTTCAAAAATAATATATATTAATTTTTTTTTATCTACACCTAAAACGAGATTCCATACTGGAAATGATTCAGACGTTTTGTTATGAAATCAATTGTAAAGAATGAAATACACTAATTTCTAAAACAACTTACTCCAGAAATAAATAGCTGATATATATTGCTAGTCAAAATACAGTATACAATAAATACATGATTATAGTTGTTTACCAACAACAAATTTCAAACTGTTTCACTTTAACTGGATAGAAGATTGCAGACTTCGTTTAGAGAATATTTCAAGCTGTTTAGAATCAATTAATGATGTCTTTAACTAATTTATTATGACTTGTGGAGTATTCATGTGATCGAAGCACAGATTAACAAGTATTTATTTATTAAGTAAAGTGTGGTTTTGATGATACACAGCAGTGTTCTGTCACTCTGTTATTAAAGTGTCATTTAATATTGATAATATATGACATTTTATTCACTACTCGTCTGTTTGTTTGTGTATTAGGCATGGAAAAAGGACGAATGTTGTGAGTCTCTGTGTTAAATCAATAAACTCTAGAAGTGTGTGTATCAGTACTCTAGGAGAGAGCAGAGAAAAATAATATTGATCTATGAGAAAGTAGGAAGAACCAAAAGACTCATACATATCACAAACCATCTAACATGAAAGCTGTTAATCTACTTTTAAGATAAAGTACGTACACCACAGAATTATGGTGAAATATTATATATTACTCAAGTTATTTCATAAGTATTTTACTTGACTAAAATCAAAAGTAATAACAAATCGCCTTTAACTTATTCATCGACCCCAAAACAAAATCATCAGTGAATCCAGTAGTTACTGAATGTCAATGAACAAACAAATGTCAGGACTGGATTAGTTCAACACATAACAAAACAGAAACTGGCTAAAATATCCAGCATGTGGAAGTTTGGTATCGCTGTAACATAAGTAAAAACGACGGCTAATAAATTATTATCCTGTTAAAAACACGTATAATCTTTCGTTAACTTAATGAATATCATTTGAAGTTTTTGATTTGCATGATTTTCTCCTAATCACAAATTTAACCTGTGTAATAAATATTAATTTCATATACTTACCAATAATATGTTCATGTTTGTAAGCTAGATTTCATATCTGAGCTAAGGTTGCATGCAGCGCTAAATCTCTACAGTGTCATATATTTTCATTCGCTATTGAGACGTCTGTAAGACAGAGAGTGTAGCTAACAGAACTGTACAGTTTTAAATTAGAAATTAAAACTCGCTCCAAAGACCGTTTAAGGAAAATGATGAATCTTCACATCACATCTTATGCAAATAACACATAAAGTGAAGGTTATGATTACGAAAGAGAATCTTCTAATCCAAAAACCAAAGAAGTTGGACATCTCACATGGTGCTGTTAACAAAATAATAAACAAGGATTCAAAGGTTCAGAACCATACGTTGCAATCAACAGCTAAAGAAACAGAAACCACAGCAATCACATTCAAGTACATATTTGTCAGATCTCCTAATGCAGATCCAATGGACTTTTGGACTTTTGTCGATACAGGACCTCAAATATCCTCCTTTATTTCTTTGTTTAATAACAATAATGTTTGGAGACGGCTTGAATGGGTAATGAAGAAAAACTTTAATATAAGTTTAACATAAAAGCAAATGTACAACGTTTCGACAAGTTTTTGTCATCATCATCATCAAATTTGAATGATCTACAGGTAAAAGCAGTTTGTTTAACCAATATTATAGGTTAAACATATGTGTAAAAAATACTTGAATGAAATGGGTGAACTATAATTACATTCCACTAAATTAACACTTTTATTTTACAACATTCTGTTTACTATTTATATCACTTTTGTAACAGATGAAAATAAATTAAACACAAGGATAAATTATAGCACATTATGACCATTCTTCACATTTCATAAATGTGATACTGTCATTAAATCATATTTTAACTGGAAGTGAGAGCCTAACTGAAGAGATACTGTACTATTATAAAAACATTGTTTTGAAAAACTACAATTAATGCAAAATTATCGAAGACATTTACAAAATAATAAAAATTCAGACTTGACTACCTTGTTTACTCTCTTGTTTTTGATCTGATGCTTTCTTTTCATGGATGTCAGTGACAGGACTAACAAAACAATCTTCAGACTGCAACGGTGAAGGACTTTTTGGTCGCCTAACAGGAAAGTCTTTAGGTAGAGGTCCTGGTTTTCTTTTGGGTTTTGGGGCACCAAGTAGTCCATCAGTTAGTCTCTTGATTCCTCTAGCTTGTGGGCTTCCACCTCCAACTAGGTCAATGTCAGCTTCATCAACCATCATACGCTATCAAATAAGAGAAAGTTTACTGTATGAAGTTCTACTTACATTAACATAAGCTGCAACAATTTTTCATTAATCATTACATGCTAACTAAGACAAAAATACTTAAGGATCACCAACAATTATAAGTATATAAGACCAGAAAAAAAAAGCTTTGTTTCTGGTTACCCGATCAACCCTACAATTAAAATGCCTGACTATAAAGTTTTTTCCAATGCCCCCAAATTTAACTCCCAACTGACCCTAATGAAAAACGCCCTTCAATTATTTTTTTTATTTTCATTAAACTATTGTAACATTCAGGCAATGTCAAACAATTCATTATGGTGGCTAAAATATTGGCTGTCGTCCATGTTTCCCTAAAAAAAGACAGTGTCACAGCCTACTGGAACAGTCAAAGACGTGTTCAAGTCATACCATCCTAAACTAGATTCCAATTATTATGAGCAGATATCAACAGATGTTGATCTGGGTGAAGTATCAATGGACATTGGGATATACCAATAAGTAGACACTTTTGGTGTCACATCAATTGAATTTCAATGTAGACCTAAACCAAAATGCCCTGAAGAAGTTGAAAGTACCAGTAGAGCAAAGGATACAGTGACAAAATCCAATCAGCCCAATACTCTGCCTACCTACCCTATTTTCAAGAACGTAAAAAGGTAAAAAAAGAGAAAGAAATGTCTACCTACTTTTTTTGAGCATGTAATAGGAAACTAAACATTTTTCTTCTAGGCCTAATAAACCAACATAGGCTAAAAGAAGTAAAAATATTTATATAAATGATAAAAATTTATGAGCTATTAAAAACATGAAAGCTAATAAATGTGATCAACAATGATACACTGTCAGGGAGAAAAGCAATAAATATAATCTGTTATATAATAAAAGAGATAGAAACACCAATAGGTATGAACAAATAAACATGATAGACCATCTCATGATATAAGATGTAAAAAAACAATAAACAACCATCATGTTTAACTTCCAAGAACATTTTGAAACAGATTTCCAATATAGTAATTTTTGATTAGCTTCACATATATAGCCCTATTATAGAGCATATCACCTTTTCAATTTTGAAAGGGTTTCCAAACATATGTTGTCGCACAGGAGTTGATTCAATTTCTCTCAAGGGTGTTGGCATTCTTTTTAAATATTCCTGGTAATTACCCATTTGTCCAACAGGCAAAGTATGTAGTTGATCTGTAAAAATACAAAGCAGTTTAACCTAGCTCAAAGTTATTACTGCTCTATCTTGACAAAAAAAAAAATAATTTTTAAGATAAAACCGAATTCATACACACACAATAAAAATAGCTGGAACAGAAACTTTTGAATGAGATCATAAGAAATCAATATTACTGTTACAAACTACAATTATTAGAAGATATTTTGTTTGCAGATTTAACGAAAATTAAGCACCCAGCAATAGTTGCTATAAATGTACAAAATTTTGAGTGAAAAGTAACAAGAAATTTAATGAGTAAATTTCATCAGTCACTCAACTTCTTAGTGGACATTTATATTCCAAATACTTACACATACATTTCAGTAAAATGTTGCACTAAGCAATTATTCAAGAACCACTGTAGTAAACTGCCAACATTTGTTAAATACAACATTACAGCCAGAGTATTTGAAACTTTCCCTTTTGTAATGCTTACATGATATGCAAGGTAAAATACAAAGTTTATATTAATGTTTATGATAATGAACTCTAGGTTTCTGTACTTTATTTCATACAAGTCAAAGCCTTCAAAAGTGTCAATTTACTTTTTTGTAGCATTTTGAAAAGTTATGTCACAAATACTTAATCGTATGCACGATGTTTTCATATGGACATGTTGAAAAATACCTTAAAAAATCAAAACATACCTTCATCTTGCAATCTCAAGCGTGATAGTGTGGTTTGAAGGAAATTTCCTCTCATTCGTGTAATTTGGTCAAGCAGACTTATGCGGGAGATGTCAAATGGATTCCTATAACTTTCAGTTTTCATTTCTTTATCTTTCACAGCCAAATTAAAACCACTGAAATCATTGAGTTCTGAAATTAGACTGGAGAATCTATCTGCCAGGCAGGGATTTGATGTTAAGCAAAGATCAGATAGCTTTTGTGTGTGCAAACTGGGACGATGGACTCCAAGATTGATCCTGATGCTTTCTGTGCTGGCTTGTTTGTTCGATCCAACCATTAGCAATATTTTTTCATATTCTGACTTGGCCTGTTAAAAATTTGTTTCATAATGAAGCCTACAATAAGTTTTGAGGGGTAATGGCATTGCCTAATTTACTTCACTTACTTCTTTTCAGGTTACTTACAAATGGACATATAACCAAAATCTCATAATTAATATGCACGGTATGAATAAACTGTTTAATATTTTTAGAAACAGACTCCACTATTATTAAGACTACATAGAATTAATCATATGATTGGTTTAGAAATTTAAAAATAATCCTTTTCTTCTTCAATAAATACTAAGGCTTCTAAAAGTAGTACCTACTGACACAATATATATTACTGGTGATAATACATATATTGTATAATGTGTTAAACATGAAAAAATACAACATAACACAACAGTTACAGTCACTATGCATATAAGCATTAAACCAGACTTCAATGATGACCCTCTACTGTGAAAAAAAAAGTTTAAAATTTAGAAAAGCAGCATTACCAAAACAATTTGCATACAGAAAAATAAAAACAACAAGTGGTTGTTTAGTTTTAACTATAATTGACACTCTTCTATACGAAAGTCAACATCTGACAAGTAAGCTACTAAGGTTTAAATTGACATACAAAAAGGTCCAGAGGTGTTTATTTTTCCTCTATAAACTTAAAGAGTAGAGATGTATGAGAAACATTCAAAGTAACATTGAGGTAGGATGTTTTTGTCATTATTTTTTTTAAGTATTTTTTTAGGGTTAATTATAAATAATGCATTTAACCCTTTCTACCAGATGTCTTAAGTTTATATAGGTGTAAAATGATATCAAGTTTTGAAAAATTATGTGATCTATCTCTTCAAATATTGCCTCCAAAATAAAATTATACTGAAATGATGAGATTTTAAATTTTCTTTTGATGTAAGTTTTATTAACATTTGTTTTTGATAAAAAAATTGAAACTGTTAACAATAAGTTTCGATTTTTTATCCCCTGTTGTAATTATTATTGAGATGGTGGAAATCATTAAATTTCCCTGCACAGATACAGTTTGTCGTTGGATAAAACTAAGCTGAAAATCTAGTAACACTGCACTGATTTGAAACTTATTTCTGGCTCATATAGCTTGAAAACATTGATGATATCAATAATTGTAAAATCCAACTATCTGTACGTTTTATTTTAAAATTTAAGTTTCTGAAATTGAAAAATTGCAAATATAGTCTGAAACCCGGTATTATTTCTTTCTCAAAATCTATTTGTTGTAGAGTTACTTTCCTTCCTTGTTTAGTTACACTCAATTTTAAAGTTGTAAAATTTTTTGTTACCTTTTGTGGAGCCTTCGAGGCTAAGCAGGGCTTTTGTCTTGTAAGTTAGTAATTATTTTCTGTTATCTGTATGTCACAGAAATTTAATATATTAACTTAAGAGTTTCTTCTGTGGTTGTTTATTTTATTGAAGTAATTGTCTTTGGAGTTTTTTTATTTTCAAGAACTAATGAGTTTTATAACTTCAAGCCATTGTGGACATAAGTATTGTATTTTACCCTAGAGCAAATGGAAATACTGTGAGGTCTGTTTTGAACACATGTACATAAATGAAGAAAAGGAAGTCAGATAAGTTGTTTTTTTTTAATAAAGTGAGATATATACTAATTATTCATATTAGTTTTGATGCTTTAGATAGTTTTTATTATAACATTCCTTTCAACAAAGTGACCTAGCCGTGATGTCATTAGGCCTACTATATGTATGAACTAACTTTCAGCTCAACGGTTAAGTGGGACGTACATAATAGTGTAATATACAGCTATATTATGTACTAGTTTTTATTGTGTTATAAATCAAAATTGACCAGAAATATCATATTTATTCTTTTAAAAGGTCCCATAGTTATCATTCCATTTGTAGGAAGTGTATGTTTAAGATATCATGACTTTATGAGTAATTTTTATTTATGAAGGCTAGAGGTGTCATTATACTTACTAACATGTTGTAAATGGTTAAGTCGTCAAAAATACAGACAATATAAGAAATTTCAATTAAAATTATTCAATTATTTCTCGAACTCTTAAGGCTATAATTGTAATCAGTTGACCACCTAAATTTCAGCTTTTGGAGTGAAATAGTTAAAAAGTGAATTAAGTAGTCATTAGAAAAGCAGTAGTACAAACAATATATTAAATCATGTTTTTTTTGCAAATGTCACTTCATTTTGAGGCTCTGCATTTCTGGAATGGTTAGGCCAATATTTAAATCAATCATGAATGTTAATTCCCCAATTACTATTCAATAAATAACTATGCTAAAGCAAGACTCCTAGAACATAATAAAATAATAGGGAATTCTCAATAGCCAAGGCACATAAAATTCTTTTGGGTTGGATTAGAGTAAATTAATCTAGGAGATCTTTTTATCCTTTTTCATTAGATATATTTTTGTGTGCCAGCAAACCAAGTGTGGGGCATGCATATACTCAATTTGATTTTACTACTCATCAGGATCTCTACCACCCTACCCTCAAACTGAAATTCTTTTAGGAAGGATTAGAGTAAATTAATCTATTAGACTTTGAGTGTGGTCAAATATCGAAAGGGTTTTTCTTCCCGAGTCAAAAATTTTAATTATATCTCAAATCGGTCAAGAGGTGACAGAGCTAAGAGCTAAAGGTTTGTACTTGAAAAAAACAACAAAACAAACTCAGAGTCATTCTATGAGCTGCTATGCTGTGGCTAAAAAGTTAAAGTAACACTGAGTAGTATGCTAGTCTTTGAAAATAGTTTTGCAAACTGTGAATTTAAAAAAAATGTTACTTTTGACACTTTTGTTAATACAAAAATTTAGACCATAGATGTTTGTAAAAGATATGACAATTTACTATCATGCATGTACATCACTTGGACACAATGTTCTATTAACTTCCCCTGTATTATACTTTAGTGTATAACATTAAAACTCAAAATAAATAAACTTCCCAAAGCAAAATTATTACTCTGAGTTGCTTACACTGTGGGTAGGTTTATTTATAAGAAAAAACAATTTCTGTACATCTTAAATGTGATATGACAAATTAAATTTCAATTTTTAAAACTTTACACTTTAACAGCAGCATGGAAATTCCAATCTCTTAAGAGATTTTTCAAAAGTCTTAAAACAGGACCTCTTAGTCTCAAGACTGTTCTTCTAAACTGATACATATGCTAACTATATCATAAAACTACTTTTTAAACAAATATAACACACTTAGATTTTTCCCACATAAAGCACACACTTAATTGCTCTAAAAAATACCTACCTTTCTTAATATCTTGACCTACAGAAGCTTTAGTATCTATTGACAGGGCTTATTCTCTAAATATTCTGCACTAGAAAAATAATAACGAATTTTTCTAGATATGCTCTTTATCTAGCAGTGAAAAAGCTTAGTATCATCTCAAATCTCTTTTTTAAAAATTTAATAACTTCTTGAGTGCTTCCTGGTTCCCTGCACTCAGGAACTAAAGAAGTGTTAAATTTTTCCCAGTAAAGAAGTTATCTTAGGATGCATTCTACTGGTGTCTTGCAATAAAGAAATTTAATCTTTCTCTTGGTATTTCGTGATCTTCTAGGATGCTTTCTGGTATTATTGTGGGTTGTCTTTTGACACCACTCTATTGTAGATCACTTCTGACTCCTTCTTATTATAAGTAAACTTTGTTATGATCATGCTATATTTGCATCTTGCTTTTCTTTCAACTTTATTAAGGTGTTAGTCATTTCTATCAGGAATTAACCCATACCAGATTTAAATATAAAAAATTATTCAAACATACTGTTGGTGTGAACGTGTTTTGTAGTCACTATGAGAAAAACCTATATACTGAATAGGTGAAGTGCAGAAAAATAGTGGCCGATGACACTTTTTCTACACCCTATCCAGTGTATAGGTTTTTCTCATAGTGACTACAAAACACATTCACTTCAACAGTAGGTTTGATACTCTTCATTATGATATAGGTCCAGCTTATCACTCTTTGGTTAACTTGTGTTCAGGGTCACTGATGAGGAGTGCAATTCTTTGAAACTAGTATAACCCAATAACACACATTGATCAAAGTGTAAATTGAACAGGACCAGCCTTGAACTTAGACTTCAATATTAAGCAATTTTTGGAATAGTAAGGTTATTCATTATAACAAATTACTGTTTATTACTATATCAATAATATATAAGAAAATTAGATTTCAATTAATTTTGGTTCTTACTAGCAGCATATTTTCCTTTGCCTCTTTCTCTGTTTATTCTTTTACTCTCACATCTTCCAGTCTCAGTTTTAATTCTCACTGATTACCTTGTCTTTTATATATATTTCTACAAATCATGCCAAACATACTAGTTTTCTTTATATCGGATTAAGACATTTCATATTCATTGAGGTTCTTGTAGCTTCCAAATCCACTGAACTTAGAAAGGAGGCCACTCTTCCAATAATTCTCTAACCACTTAGTGCTGAAATTTCAACCCTAACAGATTCTTACATCAAACTTCATAATAGATACAAGGCTTTTCTATCTCTTAGGATGCCTTCTGATAAGCTGCACTAAAGAAATTTTTAATATTTTCTGGGCTGCCATCACCAGGTATCTTACACTAAAGAATTTTGATTATCTTTTAACTCTTTTCAGCATGGGCTTGATCCCTGGGACCAATCTCCTAACCATTTTGTGCTCGTTATAGTTTTCATGCTATAACTTTTAAATTAGTAAGCCTACATTAATGAAATTTGGCAGATTATCAGTAAACATTACAATGCTTTCATACACAAAATATAATTTTTTTTTTTATTAAGTCTTAAGGTTTGTTAAGCAATGTTTTTCTCATGCCATTTTTTTGCATGTTGCTTATTCAAAATGCAAAGTAATTTTCATTTTAAGATTAA